TTCAGCTACGACGCTTCAACAAGCAAACTATCGAAGAGTTCTCCAAAGCACACTTTCCTGCGAGGAACCAGAAAGGAACAAAAGCAACAAACGGCATGATGATATGCGTCTTTTGTCATTAGGACATTTGTCGTTTCGAATATGATCAAAACAACAAGGTGTGAGATAAATCATTGACTCCATTGGCAAATAGATAAAAAATTTCCTCTAATCTTTTCTTCAATATGAATCCTCTTGGTGCTTATTTCATCAATCAGTCCCACAATCCTGGCAAATTAACTTCCGTAAACGCATCGCTCTGAGGAAAAAGGGCCGCTATACACAAGCTACGTCGTCCTTTCAATTTCGACTTGTAAACATATCCACCGCGCACGATCTTGCGAGAAGTCTCGCGAGTTAGTTCCTTGATTTTAAGAGCTAAACCGTGATTGGCTAAAACGGTTCTACGTCACGGAAATCGTTTTGCCGCTTGGGTTTGCAGACGTTACGAACCTCACGAAACTACGACGGCGACAGCGACGGCAACGGGAACGTCAAAAAAGCAATAAGTTTAATGAGCAAAACAACAACTTCGCACGTGCATTACGCTTTTTTGTACATTTCTTTGCAGTGCTTACTCAACTGCGACGTGAAATGACCAAATTTTAAGTTTATTTGGGAACGGGAACGGCAAGGCGATAAATTCTACCACCTCTGTTCGAACTAGGCCGGGGTCCCTTCTCTTCAGCTCCAACCCAATCTTTTCATCTGGGCCCCTTGGAATCAGTCGCGAGAAAAAGTGAAAGGATGCGAAGTCTTTTTTCAGCGACGTTTTCATGGACGTCGCCGTTGTCGGATCGTAAGGTCCCTTTTATTAGGGAGCTTTAGCACCGACGATGGCGACGGCAACCAGGACGTCAAAAAAGCAATAGGTTTGGTACGTAAAACAACAACTTTGCACGTGCATCACGCTTTTTTGAACATTTCTTTAGCGTCCTTGCACGACTACCACGTGAAAATGCCTAGTTGCAAGTTTTATGGAGGACGTAAACAAGTAACGACGAATCTCTTTCTCTCTCTCTAAACTTGAGTGCGGTCCTCAAAATGCAAGAAATTAACTCCAGGGAAATTCGCCTACATTTGCCATTTTCAGCAAATTGGAATAAACGCGACAAAGATTCAAAAAACGGTAATTCATTTTAAAACTGACGTTTTCGCTGCCGTTGCCGTAGTCGATGCGGAAAGCTCCCTAATTTTCGGAGGGAAAGAAGCGACGACCGGAAATACGTCTACTGTTCGCGGGCTACCAAAGTATAGGTAGCGCAACGCATTTCCAAAAAAAATGCCCATAAGGACAGAAATTCTGTTTAGAGCTAAAACTATGATG